TGAAGTCAACTATTGTTACATGTTTATTCCCTTGTTCTTTTTGCTTGATATATCATATGTTTATTAATCTGTCGGCTTTGCTGTCATTTCTATGCTTTCACTTTTATTTAATCAATTAATTATCTGCATATTGAAACTGGTTTTATCTGTGTGTTTACTTCCTAACGTATAATAATTTTTATCTTTTTGACCCTCCATTCTAGGGAATGAAAATCTCTGTCTTCTGTCCTCAAATGATTGGCAGGTTTTAAAAATTTCATAGCCCCCTGTACATGTAACTTCTTTCATCTTGGTTAAATTAATGAGGCAACTGTAGGGGTAACTAGTGTTCGTTTACCTTGGTCCGTTAAGGGAGTAATTTTTCAATGTGACCGTAACACCACAAAATCTTGTAAACAAGTTTATTCATGTTGACATTGATGAAAACAGCGGTCTGTTAACGGAGTAATTTTTCGATGAAACTATAACACCGCAAAATCAGGTGAACAGACTTATTCAAGTTGATATTGGTGAAGATAGTGTTTACATTACTGTGCAGTCGTCACCAAGAACAAGAGGTGCATATTAAGGGGTGTCTCTTAAGCACTTTAAGTAATCATGGCCAGACAAAGCTTGGGACAGATCTAATCTGAAATCGCTTCGAGAAATTAATGTGCATTTGTAAATTACAAGTTGCTGAGCTGGATTTTGGCTAGAGAAGGTTGAATTGAATGAATATACTCGAGAACTTAACCATATGAAGGGAAAACATTGGTCCCCCAAGTTTAGCAGTTGCAAGGAAGAACACATCAAAATTGAACTTGCATTAAGAAAAAGGGTTTTTGTGGGGCTTTGCTAATCAATATTTCTACCCTTTAATTAATCTTAGCTTATTATATTGGTCCACAGTGTACTATGCCATAAAGGAGAGAAAGAGAACCGTTGAGTAGAAGAAGGCCTAATCTGCAAGCCTTTTGCAGCAGAGAGAGTTGTGTGGTGATGTGATGTAAAATCAATAATTTATTATTTATAATTTATAATTTTTTTTTTTATAGGGGGAGACAGTGAATTCGTTTATTCAACAGTCATCACAACACCATCATTGTGCTGAGAGCTTTCCCTTCAACTCAATGCATTTTTCTCTTTCTTTTTTCTTTGTTTTCTCATCTTTTTGCATGTTTCTAAATCTGTATTAATGAAATTACCCTCTATAAGTGTGTCATGGTTTCTCTGTTGATTTGAAGTCATTAGCATTGAGTCATAATTTCGACCAAGTGAAAAAGATCAGTGAACAGTTTTTGGTACATCAGCATTGTGTCACAAGTTAAGTTTCACATCAGGTAAGAATGAGTTTGATCTTGTGGTAATGATGGTGTAGGCCGGAAGCATCACCTAACATGCTAGTCTTTCGGGTCGAATGACAAGCCCCCGGCTTGTGACAAACGGTATCAGAGGAGGCCTAAATCCGTTATGCGGAGTCACGCAACTAGTTTTTGTGATCTAGCTAGACAGAAAAGTGATATGTAAAAACATTAACAACTTAACATATATGTAGTTGGTTTATCTACTCTCATTATTTTCTTCATTCTGTAAAAGATGAAGAAGCCCTTTTGCACCAGTTGATTCGTGTGAGCTCACTTTACAGAAATCTTCCACTCAAGGGTTTTCCAGAATTCAGACTACTTGAGGCACATATATTCTGTGGAAAGAAGATTGGCTAGTCTTATCAAATTTAGTTCTCTGTATCTTAGACAAAGTGTGAGTCATCAAGTGGGCAGGTTTTGATAACTATTAGTACTACTTTAACAAATTCATCATTTAAGCAAGTGTAAATTATACCATCTAATTAAGTAAAGAAAAGGCACTGATGCAAAAGGCCTGGTTGATGGGAAATTTGTAAATGAAATTCATGGAAAGAAAGATTTGGAAGATCATAATTAGAAAAGAAAGTCATTGAAATGGAGGGAGACACAATCCATACGCCCTTGAAAGATGGAGATGCCCTCTTTTGCATTATCTCGAAAGCCATCTTTTCATAAGCTTAATTCAAAAACAGACAACAATTGACAGTCAAGAAGAGCAACCCTTGCTCCATATACCACAGAATGACACCTTATATTGCTAAATGAATTCTTTTAAACAACAGATGTTTATTTCCATCCACTCAAATTAAGGCAGGCAGCAGCCAATCTTCTGCCCACATTTTCTCTCCTAAAGTTGGCAAAACCAGGACAGCAGCCGAAAAATGTGAGGATTCTTGGGATTTTTGTGATTATGCATGTTTGTGCGTTAAGATTGTGAGTGAGGACATATCTTTTTAGCCATTGCTCAAATTTTATGGCTAGAAATTGGTACAACATGGAAAACACAGGTGAGAAGGGAAAAAGAAAATGTGGGGAAACACTCCACATTGTGTTGCTGGGCAAATGGATCTAATAGAGCCTTGAAAGGTTACATTTGAGATGACCTTAATGTATCTACTCAATTGGCCCATTAGCGCCAGTTGGAAACATAAGCACATGGCTATCTCATGAGATTTAGTTAAATCACAACTAAACTTAATTATCTTGTCAGAGAGTGTGATGATGATGATAGAAACATGAGCATCAGCATCATGAGCCATGACGTTTTCTTGATTGCCATATAGGGAAGCTTAAGATCTCAAAAACAATCATGATTAAGTAAAACCACTGTTCTTTCAAATTAATCCCCGTGTATTAGTTTTTTTAAATAGCTTATTAGCAACACTTAATCATGCAGAAAAGGGATGTAGCCCTTGATTTGTGTCAAGTTAAATTACAGAGTACATTGGGCAATTGACTTTAACAAGAAGGCAACATTATAAGAAGTGTGTTTGAAAGCCATTTAATTAATCCCATCAATTATCAAAAAGCTTTGTCTGGTTGAAATGCTCCCCTTTGTACCCCATCCTTGAATAATTACATCTTTGCTTTTGCTTTATAGTGGGAAATGATAGTCAACTTTCTTGCCTCAGTTACATCATTACTTCTAATTTTGGGGGAGAGCCTCTGCCCTTAATGAACTGTTTGAGATTCTAATGGGAATGCTATGAGAAATTGAGCCTTCTCAATCAGTGTGCTTTTGAGAACTGATGGCATACTCTCATTGGTGCTTTCCTTAACAGATTTTGATTAAAGGTGTCTAATCAAATTTATTATGATAAAAAAAAATAAAGGAGAAACAGGAGGTCCATGACAGATTGTTCAAAATCTAATCCATCACAGTACTAGGACCTAATTGGTAAATCCATCCCTTCCTATATCTCATTGGCAAACATTTGATAGCTATAGTGGGTGGCGGCTAGCCGTTAGTATACATAAATTCTACTATAAATGCATATGAACGGTTGACAATCATTCACACACACGCATGAGTGCCTCAATATGATTATTTTCCCTTGACCACCCTTCACATGTACCATTTGCCCAACATGGCATGACCCTTTCATTAGCACAGCCTACTTAGAAACTGACACTTGGTTAGGGCTTCCTCACTTTTTTGGCTTTGGTTTACACTCTAGAAGAAGCACCAGCATTTTTGCAACTATGCTTAAAGTTACACTTGGTGTCAGTAGAAAACCCATTGTTAAGCAGATTCAGGGCTAGCGTTTGAATCTTGTTATCCAGCATGCAATTTTAGTCTCTATATAGGTTATGAAATTCCATTTTGAAAGGTTTTCTAAGTTCAAAGATAATGGAATCAATGGACTGTTTGAACTTTGAAACAAACCATCTAATGGTGGTGAGGACCTCATCTAAGGCCCTCACTATAGAATTCTACCCTAATGGTGTATCCGGAACACCTAAAAATTACTCCATGGTGATATCAATCTGTTCTCTTCTTGGAGTCTTGGTCTGCATCTTGGTTTACACAAAAAGAAAAAGAAAAAGAGAAGAAAAAAAAACATTATGGATATAAAGTCTCTCAAACGCAAAAATCCAGATGAAAACAAAAAGGCCCAAACCCAAATTCCTAACAATCTTAGACTTGCAGAAGGAAGAAAAGCCTCATGGCTATGAAGCTTGCCATGCCCTCAAACAAGTTTTGGGCTTTTGGTCTACGAGGCTCATACTTCTTTTGAAATCAAAAGGCGAAGGCTCATGAACAAGAAGCTTTTGCATCTGAGGCCCACAGTTCTTTTTCTTTTTAAATTTGGTGGGCTCAGTTGTTAGCCACATGCTTCACTTTTTTCCTTTTTTCTTCTTTTTCTCTCTCTTTTATTCTTTTGCATATGAAAGGTTAATAAAAAGTTTACCAACAAAGTCTAATAACATGTGATTGGTGCTTCTAATTTTCTTTAGATTCAACCATAACATTAAAGAAAATTCAAATTAGAAAAACAACGTATGGATAGAGATTAAATCACAAGATTTTCTCTCTCTTTTATTCTTTTGCATATGAAAGGTTAATAAAAAGTTTACCAACAAAGTCTAATAACATGTGATTGGTGCTTATAATTTTCTTTAGATTCGACCATAACATAAAAGAAAATTCAAATTAGAAAAACAACGTATAGATAGAGATTAAATCACAAGATACATAAGAAGCAAAAATTTCGTGTAAATGCATTTTCATAATCGCAATCAAGAGATCCTCAAGTCAAAACTTGAATAAAAATATGTGAAAAATACCTGCGATCGAGTTTATAAGTCTTCCTAGTCCTCGCTACCAATATTTGAAAACTACATTTCTGATAATAATAAAAAATCTGTATTTCTTCAACTAGTTCTCCATAGACTAAAAAATACGCATAAATTACACGTAGTGGATCGCAGCTTCAAGGGATTGATTGGTGCTGTGCATGGCCGCCATGGCCCAACATGGACGCATAACTTCTTCTTGACCCAAAAATAATTTTCAGACCGTTAAAACGCAGGAGGCTCTGGTGCCGTCCACGCCCACCTGTAGCTGTCACTCGCTCCATTTATATATATATATATTTTTATTTCTGTTGATAAACAAAAAGTAATTAGTTCTTTAAGCCTAATCATTGCCAGTGTTGCCAGGACCATGTGATGTGGCCTGCCAATTGACAACCTGTTTTTCATTTGTGTGTGGTAGCTCTTCATCTTCTTCTACTTCCCATAACTTCACTTGGCTTTTTTCGGGTTGTTCGTTGCCAACAGTCTTGTTCCTCCTTTCCTCTCCCTTTTCTCTTCTTTTTTTATTGCCTCTGCTTTTCACTTGAACATCTTAATTCCTGCTGCTTGGTACAAGTGTTAAGCTTGCTCTTGATCCTCTCATGGCTACAGAAACTGCTGCATCACATCATGTTCCTACCACTGATGATGAGGTTAGTTCATTCAGTGATCAAGTATGATCCTCCTTTCAGGGATTTCAAAGTTCATATGATCCAGAGTTGATTTTATGTGTTGTATTGTCTTATGTTTTGTGAACTATAATCTATCAAAACCCAGTTAAGATTATGCTTTAATTTGTTATATTTTTCATGTTATTGGGTATTAATTGATATTTTTCATGAATGATTATGTATTTTTTCCCTCAACACCAACTTGAAGCATCATGCAAGTAACCTTGTCTTTTTCATGGTTTGTGATTTGGAGGTGTCCTGCTTTTTACTTATATCCATATTGGATATATATGTGTATATATATATATATATATAAAAGAATATATAGGTTTGCAACTTTCAAAGTAGGGGTTTTAAAATCTATCCATATCATGAACATCCTGATGAAGAAGATAGATGATATGTGTTTTATATTTTCAACAAGTGATATTTTGAATATTTTACCATGAAAATAATTCAAAACAAGTAGAGATATGAATAACACATAAAGGGCACCATCTTCTGTTTAGCAGAGGATGCCACAGATGTCTTCTTCATATGATGCAGAGCTTTTTATTAAACAATAAAGTTTCCCTTGGCCAGATGCAGATAGGCTTGATATTGGTTGTTTTCAAGTTCTACACATATGTGGTTGGCTTTCTTATTTGAAGTGGACACAGAGATCTCAGTAACTAGTTCTTATCAAATTTATTTTTGGATGAAATTATAGATGCCCAAAGAGATTAAAAGCAATGCTTGTAGTGCTCTTGTTGCCAGTTTCTTTACTTTATCTCTTTTGTGTATGTTTGATTAATACCTATGCAGCTAGCAATACTTGGCTAGGTTGTTTATTTCTATGCGAAGCCCTCTTCCTCAATGGATTTATTTATTTTACTGCTGATCATCTTTTAATCACTGCAGCAAGTTGAAAAGAAGGTGAGTGAAGAAGAAAAGGCTTCTGAAAAAGAAAGTGTTTCTTTACCCCAAGGAAGTGGAGAAGAAATAACCAAAACTGAGGATGCAACAAGTTTAGCAACACCAGCTGAGTCTGAAGGTGTTGATCATAAGAACATTGAGCCTCCTGTAGTCGAGGCTGAGAAGACTAATGGTGCTCCTGTGCCAGATGTTCCAGTGGGAGTCGAAACGAAGGTGGAAAATGAATCCATTGCTGATTCACAAACACCCGCTATTCCAAAGCAAGTGGCTGATGCTGCTGAGAGCCCAATAGAGGTTAAGACAAACATCGAGTCTGTAGTAGGAGAAGCACCAAAAGAACCATCAATAGGTATCATTGAAATAGGCCAAGTGGAGCAACCAAAGATAGTTGATGCTCCTCAATCATCAGTTGAAGCCATTGAGAAACCAAAGGAGTCAGTAGCAACAGTCCTAAAAGAGATTAAAGACTCAGAGCCAGAGCTTGCTATTGCAAAAGTGGAGGAAAAACCAAAAGACCAATCTGAATTTTCTCGACTAGAGAAAAAACACGATGAGGAGCCTGAAGAGCGCCTGCAGGATGAAACGGTGAAAGATGAAGGGTCTGTAGCTGACAAGGTTGAGCATATCACATTCTTGGAGCAAGGGAAAATTGAAACAGTCGATACACCTAGTCTAGCAGTGGAGGAAGAACCAGAACAACCTAAACTTACAGCAGAAGAGAAGAAATATGATGAAGTTGAGCCTGAGAAAAGTGTGGAGGATGGAGGAGTAAAAGATGACGGATCTTCATTTGGTAAGGTTGAGGAGCCCACATTCCTGGAAGAAGGGAAAACTGATAGAGACGACAAGCCTAGTCTAATCGAAACTCCAGAAGAGGCTTCACTTAGTCGGGAAGCTCAAATCAAGCTACAAGATGAAGGGGATTCTTCTCTACCTGAAGTCACAGAAAAGATCACTACTGAGGACCAAAAGAAAGAATCAAGTGGGGTTGATGTGGTTGAGAAGCTAGCAGAAGAGGCAGCAGTGGAGACTGAAAAGTTTGGAGAAGAGAATGTGGAGACTGGAAACGTTGAAAGGGAGAATGTGGAAACTGAAGATACAACTCAACCAATTAAAGAAGACAGAAAGAAGGAAATAAGTGGGTTTGATGTGGTTGAGAAGCTAGCGGAAAAGGCAGTGGAACTGGACACGGTTGGAGAAAAGGAGGTGGAGACTGAAGAGGATGTAAAGGAAACTATAGAGGATGAAAAGAAAGAATTAAATGGGGCTGATGTAATTGACAAGCAAACAGAAGAGGCAGAGGTGAAGTTCGAAAAAGTTGAAGAAGAGAATGTGGCAAAGAATGTTGAAACTGAAGATAATGAAAAGAGGAATGTTATAAGTGAGGATTCAGCTAAACCGATTGAAGAGAAGCAAAAGAAAGAAGTTGGTGGGGTTGATGTGGTTGAGAAGCTAGCAGAAGTGGCAGCAGTGAAGTTGGAAAATGTAGAGAATGTTATAAGTGAGGATTCAAGTCAACCAATTGAAGAGGAGCAAAAGAAAGAAGTAGGTGGGGTTGGTGTGGTTGAGAAGCTAGCAGAAGTGGCAGCAGTGAAGTTGGAAAATGTAGAGAATGTTATAAGTGAGGATTCAAGTCAACCAATTGAAGAGGAACAAAAGAAAGAAGTAGGTGGGGTTGGTGTGGTTGAGAAGCTAGCAGCAGTGGCAGCAGTGAAGTTGGAAAATGTAGAGAATGTTATAAGTGAGGATTCAAGTCAACCAATTGAAGAGGAACAAAAGAAAGAAGTAGGTGGGGTTGGTGTGGTTGAGAAGCTAGCAGCAGTGGCAGCAGTGAAGTTGGAAAATGTAGAGAATGTTATAAGTGAGGATTCAAGTCAACCAATTGAAGAGGAACAAAAGAAAGAAGTAGGTGGGTTTGGTGTGGTTGAGAAGCTAGCAGAAGTGGCAGCAGTGAAGTTGGAAAATGTAGGGGAAGAGAAGGTGGAAAAGAATGATGGAATTGAAGAGAATGAAAAGATAAATGTGATAACTGAGGATTCAACTCAACCAATTCAAGAGGACCTAAAGAAAGAATTAAGTGGGGTTGATGTGGTTGAGAAGCTAGCAGAAGAGGCAGTGGTGGAAATAGAAAAGTCTGGAGAAGAGAATGAAACAAAGAATGTGAAACTTGAAGAAAACGAAATCAGAAATGTGATTAATGAGGTTTCAACACAACCACTTGAAGAGGAGGTCAACAGCTCTATTTCTCCCGCTGAAGTTACAGAAAAATCATTTGAGGGAGCTGAGAAATATGTTGAACCTGCAGTGGAAAATGAAAGAGCAGAACAGATAAAAGATGAGACTCCAGCTAAAGTTGAAACCAAGAAAGATGAGAGTGTGGAGGAAAAGCAAGATGAAGTTACTAGAGCTGATGAACCACTTAAAGATTCCAAGCAATCTGAGTCAGAAGTAAAAGGAGAGGATAAACTGGAGGAAAAACAGGATGAAACAGATGCTGGTAAATTGGAGAAAGTCGATGACGATGTAGCAAAATCTAAACAGAATATAGAGCCTCCTCCCACCAAGGATGGTGATCAAACAAAACCCTCCCAGGACCTGCCAAAGGAAGCTCCAGCTAAGCCCTCTCAGAAACAGTCAAATACCATTTTGTCGAAGGTAAAGCAGTCACTGGTGAAGGCAAAGAAGGCAATCATTGGGAAATCTCCAAGCTCAAAAAACCCTGCCTCTGGAACCAAGGATGATATTAAAGTCAAATAATGAGATGGAATATTAGTTTGCATATATCACATATTGTATCTTCCCTCATTCTTGTGATGTTTATATGATTGTGGTTCCCCCCCTTGGTGTTGCTGCTCACTCTCAGATCATGGCTTGTGTTTTGATGGTAAAAGGATGCGTGCATATAGAACATATAGGCTCCTGCCAGACTCAGTAGCGTAAAGTGGTGTGTATATTGTTAGTATCTTCCCCTCTTGACACTGTTGATTTGAGTTGTAGATTGTAATTACTGTCTGTGTTTTGGTGCTTGATTGTTGTTAGTTATCGCCAAGAAAGAAGTTTAATATTGTGAAAAATGGAATGTGGATTTATGTTCAAGTTTCAATCATCATTTTAATCAAAATACCATTTACTTTAGCCATTAGTTGTGCATTTCAGTTGAAAAGAAAATAAGATTGCAAGCCCAGTCAAGATCTATGAAGAATTGGTCGAACTTGGGAAACACGACGTTTGCTAGCAACAACTAGGAACAAGCAAAATGAACATGGAACCATCTGAATAGCCAACATCCTTGTTAAAGATTGTACCATATTTCACCTAAATGGCTTCAGAGAAAGAGAGAGTACAACATATGTATTATTAAGACATTACTCTCATTGTCATTAATTCAAAGAATTGTTATAATATGTCCAAAAACACACATTTGATACATATATTTCCGGTATATTCAACTCTTATACTTTGCTGCATTACCTCACCGGCTACAAAGTGAATGTACAAACGCTAGAAGGGACTTCAAGTCTTCTCAAGGTACCAAAATCTGTGCAACATGTAATTGTGCTCTCCTGAAATTATAATTCAGATGGTTATTGCAAAGGTTCAAGATCGACTCAGAGGTGCTTTGTACTTTAAATTGTATCTACCCGGATCTGAAACAAGCAAAAGATCCAATCTCAAGATGCTGCATCATCGATTTCTCTCCTCCAACCACAGATAGAAGTAGAACTGCTTAACCTGAATGTACAAGTGGAGATAAGTTCATATTTCGTCCAAGAAAATGAAGTATTACTGTGTTGTGTATGCGAATATAAAAATTTGTGTATACGAGAATGCCCTTGTACACTCACTAGCTGTTCTACTAAGCACAACGTCATTTCCGTTAGAAGATCTGTTAGCTCTGTTGTTATCAACATCGGCCGCTTGAACATTATTACGCACCAAAGCAGGCTGTACAAAGCCCTCATTAGTTGCTTGGCACTGGCAACAACAAAGAACAATAAAAACTTGATTTAGGCATGGAAAGAACACAAACTCCAAAGGTCTAGACAATTATATAAATCCTAGGGACTTGTCCACCTATTACCAATTGTTTTTGGATTAGATGCTCCAACTTTAACATTGTGTCAAAGCAGGAGATTGTTTGGCTCAATGTGGTCATATGTCAAGAGGGGCATGTTGAGAATATAGAATCCAACATTAGGAATTTCAAAACCTGCATCTCAGTATAAAAAATCTTGGGGTCTTTTCACCCATTGTTAATTTATTTGGATTGGATGCTCCTGTGTAAGTGCAAAGAATCCCCCCAATAAACATGCAGCATCAATTAAACAACCAAACTCTCAGTCATTATCATATATTTTTACAAAAAAAAGTTTAGTTCATAGTAAATGCACAAACCTGACTAGATGTCTGATTCATAGAGCTATTGGCATTGGTGTTTTGCACGACTTGAGAGTTCATGTTCTGAACTGAATCCTTTGAACCAGAAACTGGAGCTGATTCCGCATTTTCCATAGGGCCTCCTGCACCACATGCATTTAGTCCTACAGATGACTTCATAAAGGGACCTCCTGATGAAGGAACTAAGGGCGGCCGTTGCATCGGCATGGGAACTCCTTGACCAGGAAGCCCAAACATCTGAAGGTTAGATCCTATCATCCCATTGAAGGCATGCCCTGCCATAGGTGAATTAGGGAAATGTGCTCCTTGCATGGGGGGCACCTGAAGCATAGGGTAACCAGAAGATCCACCATTCATGTCGGGCATACCCATCCCAAAACCCATGCCTAATCCCATCCCCATTCCCATTCCAAGACCCATGGGCGAGAAATGAGCCATACGGGGTGCATGCATGTGTTGCATTCCTGCTGGAAACATCATTGGTGGCATATACAAACCAGCTCCCATTGACATAATCTGCAACGAGATTGAAATAATACCATGTTATACTTGAATATCCAATTTCTTAGACATTAACATGGAAGATGAATAAACTAAGGAGTGAGAGAATAAGTTTACCTGTACTTGGAGCTGAAGTGTCTTCAAATATTCAATAGCCTCGTCAAGCATTGAAGCTTTGTCCACCTTATTTTCCATAAAGAAATGTCAGCATAACCAAATTACAGAAGAAGATATTAACAAAAAACAGGTTATGCTTAAACTTCCATGACTATCAGTAACATTCATTATAACAAACAACTAACAACGTTTCAGAAAGAAAGAAAAAAAAGTTTGAAAGACTCTGGACGTACATTGCAGATTTTAATTGATAGACTTCCCTAGACATGGATACTATTTTAAAAATCGTTTTCACTTCCAAAAGTGTTCAAATTAGGTCATTGATTAACACCAAAACTGTAAACTTCTAAAGTCCATCAAACATCACAAGCAAATGTCTGGCAAGACTAAAAAACAAAACTTAAGGGAAAAAAATCCAACCTTATTGCAATTGGGTATGAGTTCTTGTAGAGCACGCATCTTCTCATTGATTCTATCCCTTCGCCTCTGTTCACAGAAATCCAGAACGAGTACAATTAAATAATCTTAGAGTTTACAAACAGCACAATGGAAAGAGCTAACATGTTCTCTGTCATGAATGCTATTGATGATTGGTTTTGCTCACCCTTTCTGATAAATTATGCACTTCTGCTGCTCTGCTTCTCTTCGAACCCATGCCCCGAGCATGAGCTATTTTTTTCACCCCCACAGATTCTTCCTCCACATCCTGCACATGAGGAGGTTTTCTTGGTTTATGGAGGGAAAGGAAACAGTAAGGAACTCCAAGAAATATTGACTACCAACTTTCAACTTACGTCACTATGGCATTCAGACTCGTCAGTATCACGAGATTTTCTCTTCAAAGCATGTGTTGGGTCATCTGAAGCTCTCTCCACACTATTGCCTGAGCAAACAGAAGAAGCAACGACAGGCTCCAAAGTTTTTTCACCATCCCGAAGTACCCTATTTGCACTTTCACAAGGAATATGATTGGTGTTTGTGTCATTCTTAGAGGTATCCTCTTGGCATGCCGCCTCAGACTGTTTAGCAGCACATGATTCCTCAAGAGGCTTAGCTTCTGTTGGTTTCAATTCAACATTGGATGTCCCTGTAATATGTTGGCATTGTGAATTTGACTCCTTTGCTAAACCGCTGCTTGAATCGATTAGAGTTGTCTCAGGAGGATTGTTACTAGTTGCAGCTGAAACCTTGCCCTTAGTTCCAATCCTTTCCATGCTTGATAAACCCGAGCCAGCCACCGCACCAATGCTCTGAAGATTAGATTTCACAAGAGCAGCTGGTCGTGAGAAATGGGAAAAGTTCACTACGGATGAATTATTATTACTAGGCATTACTGGATCTTGCCTCTGCATTTTTATGCCAGGAAAAACACCTGCGGATGAAACCTGAGTTGAATTCTTGCAAACAGTAGGATGGGTGGCACTACCCGTATTATCACCAACAATATCCGAAACCCTTGATCTGAAAGATGGAAATAATGATTGGGATTGCTGTGATGATAATGGGTAAAATTGACTGGTACCAGTTCTAGGTCTGCTAACATCAGCACCATCTATTGAAGTAACCTTTGGCGCATTCCTTTGCTCCAAATAAGCACCTTCATGTGCAGAGTTGGTATTGGAGTCCCTATATACCTGACTAGAACTACTCCTTTTATCCATTGAGGCAAGATTGCTATTGCTGGAAATCTCATTTGCAGTGACAGTGGATAATTCAGGCAAAAATTCATGACAGTATTCATGATGTAAAGGTTCATCAATGGAATAATTCAACCAAGGCAACATTTCATCATCTTCACTCAAACCCATTTCGGAAGATGGCACCGACAACGGAATTTCATCCAATACAGACTCCACCGATCCAAACTTCCCTGTCTTCGCAATGTTGCCATTTCCTACATCTTTATCTCGATTCTTGGGGTTGTAAGAAGGTAAGCTATTATTACAAGTTGGACTCTTTCTAGTTCTACTAGACTGGCCTTGCATCATAATTTGACCATTTTCCCATACTAGCTCAACAAAGTCATTTACAGGTCTGCATTAAATCCCACAAGGTGGAAAAGTGGGGAAAAGAAGAAAATTTTCCGCAAATGTTAAATGGGAAAACAGAACACAACTCAATGACACAAATAAAAAGATGTAAGAGTGCAAAGATGGTAAAAATGTGGAACAGAACTTACTCAAAATCTTGACTTGAATCAACCCTCCCGGCCATCCGATAAAGCTCGGACAAAGGCATGGTGAAGAGCTGTAAAGCACTGTGTTATTCTGAATTTCCACAAAGCTTCAAGAACATAGCCATTATTGGTAGCTTCTACACAGTAGGCTTGATCTAGGTGTCGAGTTCAAAGCACCATAAATAAGTATATAGTATGTATATATATATATAATGCCAAGAGGCAAGAGTGTTTGAAGACGTAAACTCCCAACCAAAACCCCACTATAAGACAGTCCCAGTTCAACTTATAGTGGAAAAAAAGAAAAGAAATTATATTCCTTGCAGTTATAATTTACAGAATAAAATCTTTCTTTAAATACTAAAGTCTCTATCAGTAAGTAAAATAAAATATACAACTTAGTTTTATAAACATAAAAGTGAGCAGTCAAATTAATTCTTTAATGGCTGCCAAAGATCCCTAAAAAACCTCTAATTTGAGCTCCTTTGAGTTAAAAATTAGTTCTTTTCACTTTTTTTAGTAATTAAACGAAAAACCCAGAAAAGAGATTACATCTCCTTAAATTAATCAACAATCTTAAGCAAAACCCCAACTACCCAACAATCTAAACTTGAAGAACACCCGAAAATCTGCACAACCCAATAATACCCAATAATACCCAGCTAGAAATATAATCATATACACACAGGGCATTAACAAAAGGGATACAAGAAACTTGATTTTGGGGAAATCAGAGTTCCTCGAACTAGTCAAATTACACCAATCCACATGGTAAATCAGAAAAAGCTCTTAAGAGTTAGTAAAACTGAGCTCGAACAAAGAGAACCCATGATTTCACAGAGAGAGAGAGAGAGAGAGAGAGAATCCAAGTGGACGGTGGACGTAGAAGACGGCGAAAGGCTTGCAGACTTGCAGGGGGACCAATGCAGAGAGAGAGAGAGATTGAGAGAGAGATAGAGTGGGGGAGAGAGGTACAAAGTTTCAACTTTCAACTACCAAAGTTTAGCTGACGCCATTTGTGATGTTAACCATGGTCAAACTTCCTATCATGTTATAACCTATTTACCTTTGAATTTTGTTTCCGGTACTAATCTTTGAAAAATTATATATATATACAAGTAATATTATATTGAGGAATGTAAAAATCAAACCTCTTGTTAAACGATAAACACTCTAAATTACTTCAACTACAAACTCATTACATATTACTAATTAGGTTTGAGAAAATCATATTACTCAATACACCCATCCAAACGAAACTCAAATTCTAACCTCAAGTTTCTTCCTTTTTTGGTCATAGTAGATATAGGTGATGATAACTGCCACCACTAAGCCATAGTCTTGTCAACCTGTCATTACCAAATCTGATCACAATCTTTGCTACTTGCTACCTAAAACATGGTGCTGCCATGACTGATGATCATAATTTTACAAACCCTCTTTTGTTAACTTAAAGATAGACACATTTATAATAAAACTAAAATGGGGGAACAAGAGATAAAATCAAGTTATTTTGACTCTGTTGTAGATTACACTTGAATTATTTGTATGTACTTGGTGTGGTGAGCCCTTCTTCCCTATCCTCTGAATTGATTTCCTGATGTGATTTGGTCATGGAAGAAAGGCCCACAGCTGGTAGGTTTGTTTCTGTAGCAAGATAGGTGCATTTGGTGTCTTTGTTCTCTGTACTCGAATAGAATAGGGAGCATATTATCCTTTTGGTATTTCTATATGTTATCTTATCGAAATTGGATTTGTAGTTGTGGACTTTTAATACAACAACAACATCGTTATCATACGTACATGATACATCCATAGTTATAAATTTTGTTTGGCTGGTGACCCTACTTTTCCTTTTCAAGTTTCAACATATAAAATTACATTAATAACTATGGTTTAAGGCTTAATAAATAAGTCTTTGACTTGCCCACAATGGGTTTTTAAAATCTGCCTCCCCTTCATTTTGGGAGAGACTTTTTTTTTTTTTTTGGTATATATTTAGTGCTGGGATGTGGCATTCGCGGTGGTGCTGTAATGATCTAAAGTTTTAGATGATTAATTGAAGTTTACTTGAACAGAATATTTTAGATTTTTTTTTTGTTTTAGTCCTCCTAATATGAATTAACTAGAATAATACTTGTTTATGAAGTCGACACCATATTGAAGGACCTCAAAAATCTACGGTTCATAATCGTCACGTGAGTGTCTGTGTTTAGGTCAAACAAAACATGTAAATCATTGTTCCAAATAAATATTTAAAAAAATTAATAAAAAGGTTAAGATAAAAGAAGGATTGAGCTTTATAACATCATCTTATCCAAAACAATTAGTCGCAATTGCTTTTGAAAATCATGATCCAGTCTCATTGAATAATTGAGTCTTATTGTGCAATCCCTTGATTAAGGTAAACAAAATGCCACACTTGCCCCTTAATCCACCAAAGCATAAAAATTTATATCAAGGACATGATTGCCTTTTCCAATTGATGTAGGATGTATCATAAAGCCAGCAATTAGGGGACACCAAAATCCCAAACTTTATACTCTTTGATTATAGGCAGGATCCCCACCAAATTGTAAAGTAAAAAACATATAATACAAGTTCAACAAAGTGATAAGACAATCTGGAAATAAAGTTAGTAAAATCTATTAAAAACTGAATCTAAGCCAAATTTTGAAATGGACTGTATCCTTTAAAATGTTCAATAAAAAAGAAAAAGGAAAAAAGTGATAAGATATGATGTTTTACGCGAAAGATAAAGAAAATAAAGTAATAAAATATGTAGTTTGTGTTGGTCCCTTGTACCTAATGGTTTTTTTAGCTGAATTATGAATGCAATCGTTGAATTTCTTAAAAAAAGTGAGCCAATTGATTGGATGGGTTTAGATGTCTTCAATGAAGAATACGATTTGTGCTTTAATTTTTGCTTTTGCTTCATATGACAAGAAAATGTTCATCCAACATGTGCTTGCTTGCTACCATTACATTTACATTTACAATAGAAATAGAAATTTGAGAAATTCACAAAATTAGGGTTTGTGATTCCATGTGGACCACCACACTGGGCCCCAAGCATGGGTGATATGGGCAATGTCCGCGGAACCTTACTGGGTTTTGTCCACGTGGACCCTTTCCTGACCCAACAATTGGATTTGGCACCTTCCATGGTGGACCCAATTTTGTGGAGCATCTTTTCTCTCATCCCCTTATCGGTGCAAGCACCATTATTAATCAGAAATGAGATTGTGATATGGTTTTTTTTTTCTATTAACTTTCCAGAGATTAAAAGATTTGAGGTCCTAAAATTGACTGATCAGAGAGAGTTGGCTGGACGCTGGAGGTTTTGAAGGTGGAAATTGACTTGGAGAGCAGGAAAGAGATTTGGAGGGTGTGGAAATTCACGTGCATGTATGACCTTCACGTGACACTGTTTCCATGTCAATGGTAACATGAGCCCACTGGGTCTGTAATTTGCATGACATTGCATGATAGGGTCTCTGGTTTTCTTCCACGTGTTCAGCCAACCAAGGTGACAAAACCCACAAATTATTTCTCAACTTCCCTACCTCCGTGGACCCTTTCATTGTCCTATTTTTTCTATTTCTCCTCCTGTGACTTATCAAAGAATGAGAGCAAATAAAGAGCGGGACAATGAAGCGGAAATAGAGAAGTATTTCTTATAAGGAATGGAACCCATGATTGATATTGCAGTAATGGGAGCCACATATCCATTTTATGAGCATGGATTTAAGTTAGTTTAATTTACATCTAATTATCTTCTTTAATTTAAAGCACATGGTTACAAAAATTAAAACAGTACTTAGAATATGTGGACAGAGATTCTTGGGAAGAAAATGACAAATTGGGTTTGCCTAAACATGTTGGAAATGGCATGCATGAAGATCCCAAGTAAGAAAATTATGAGAGAAAGAGACACAGATGGTACTAAGATTGTAAAGAAAATATATACAGCGTGGTACAGGGTGCAAAGATGCGGGAAACCAGAGGATAATATAAGAAAATGAAAATGATGAGGCTTCATGGGATTATGGAAGAAACCACTGACCTCTAAATAAATTAAAATGCATGCCTTCTTGGCTGTGGAGCCAAGATTTTAGATGGACCCAAAACATGGATCATGCTTTATCAACACTAGCAGTTTCTGCTGGCCATTGTCTGTGCCTCCCCTGCAATCTGCACATGACCACCAGACCCATCTATATAATCTGCAGAGATATAAATATATAAATATATATGTGTGTGTGTGTGTTTTATTTTTATTGTGACTGAAATATTTGATTGCTATGAATGAATGAATTTAAGGAAATGCAGAAGCTCAGTGCCTGCAGGGTGCTGTTGAAAACAACAACCAGCTGCCTGCTTTTATTTTTTCTCTTGTTTTCTGGTTTCACCGTTATCTGAGATTCATGCAAATTGCTTCTGATAGTCTTATCAAAAAAGGGCCTTTACATAGCATGTGCAGAGCTAAAATAATATTTTTAAAAGCATGGTTCCAATTATGTTGTTCACTGTGCTGATAAAATAATCAAGCGAGAGGTGATTTTTCCAATTTTTTTTTTTCATTTGCACTCTTTTTTATTTTTTAATATTTTTTAAATTAAGTTTGTTCTTTTTTTTCTTTCTCTTTCCTATTCTACCTTTATTCTACAATTCCCTTTAATAAGAATACTTTTATCCTACAATTCCCTTTAATAAGAAGACATGTACAATCACTTACTAATATTATGAAAGAATATAACTCTGAGACTACTATGCATACCTTGTTCTCTGTATATCTAAGCTCCTAATGACAGCTTGGTTAGTAGCATTATTTGGTTCTTCGGAAACCAGAGGATAATATAAGAAAATGAAAATGATGAGGCTTCATGGGATTATGGAAGAAACCACTGACCTCTAAATAAATTAAAATGCATGCCTTCTTGGCTGTGGAGCCAAGATTTTAGATGGACCCAAAACATGGATCATGCTTTATCAACACTAGCAGTTTCTGCTGGCCATTGTCTGTGCCTCCCCTGCAATCTGCACATGACCACCAGACCCATCTATATAATCTGCAGAGATATAAATATATAAATATATATGTGTGTGTGTGTGTTTTATTTTTATTGTGACTGAAATATTTGATTGCTATGAATGAATGAATTTAAGGAAATGCAGAAGCTCAGTGCCTGCAGGGTGCTGTTGAAAACAACAACCAGCTGCCTGCTTTTATTTTTTCTCTTGTTTTCTGGTTTCACCGTTATCTGAGATTCATGCAAATTGCTTCTGATAGTCTTATCAAAAAAGGGCCTTTACATAGCATGTGCAGAGCTAAAATAATATTTTTAAAAGCATGGTTCCAATTATGTTGTTCACTGTGCTGATAAAATAATCAAGCGAGAGGTGATTTTTCCAATTTTTTTTTTTTTCATTTGCACTCTTTTTTATTTTTTAATATTTTTTAAATTAAGTTTGTTCTTTTTTTTCTTTCTCTTTCCTATTCTACCTTTATTCTACAATTCCCTTTAATAAGAATACTTTTATCCTACAATTCCCTTTAATAAGAAGACATGTACAATCAGTTACTAATATTATGAAAGAATATAACTCTGAGACTACTATGCATACCTTGTTCTCTGTATATCTAAGCTCCTAATGACAGTTTGGTTAGTAGCATTATTTGGTTCTTCTACCTGTAAACATGTTAGTCCAAAAAATTTATTATCTATTAACTACAATAAAGATAAATAATACTCAAATATTTGGTAAAAAAACAAAGAATTTGGAGTGTGTACAAACATGGCATATGTATTCCAAACCACTTTAAGTAGAGAACAAGGAAGAGGGCAGCCTTTTTGTTTTCCTTTTTTATAATAATGTGATGAGAGCAATCATTTTTCAGGTTTGTGTAGGGCCCCATATATCTTTTTCTAATATATTAGCTGATCAGCCCATATTTCTCCTCCGCCCACGTTTATTGTGATGTTCAGGATAAAAGTAAAATAAAC